TACAAGGGCTTCTTATATCCACTGGCGGCGCCAAGCCGAACTGGATCCTCGGGCGGTAGTTGCTAAGCGTTTATATGCAAGTCTTTTGAGCTTCACCACTCAATGTCGAGTCCGGTCTATCACGGACGCGGAGGCAGGAAAACTCGTCTCCGCATTTCTGATATCTGACGCAATGGATCAGGACCAAAGGGGCGACCTGTTTGCGAATGGCAGCACGGGGCCCTGGGATTGAAAGGATTGAGGCACAGTCCTGGGCCGAGCATACTCGTGCGGCCGATCGGCTGTTGAGTCCGGAATTACACCTTCAGCGAGCCCCTAGCCTCTTGCCTGCTCGATAATACAGATCTCAGCGATACGCAACACTACCGCGGTTGGAGGACAATGAGTCTACAGCTGTAGATTGTGCCTCGATGATGTTTGGAACCTTGCGGCGGTATAGTACCGTTGAGCAGGTGTGATCCTGTCCCGAGACGACCTCATCATTGAGCATACAGGCTATTACGCACCACAAGTCCGCGCTCTCATAGGTACACTCTACGTCTCGGGCTAGAGTCATTTTTCTTCGTTGGCAAGTAGTAGTACATGCTGTCTTCCGTGATTTCCTTTCCTTGCACAAGACGTCCCAGAGCGTTACTTCTTGCCAAAGATGGTGTGGAACGTCGTCTTCTGGTGCCTGCAGAATGCTTTCAGCGACTGTAAGCGTCACGTAGACCGCCAACACATACCCCAGGTTCGCGCGGCCAGGATCGATGAACGTGCTCCACCGCATACTCAGCTGGATACCCAGGAAGGGACAACAGAATGGAGACGCACATATATCCGCGGTTATCAGGGACCTTGAGCTTCTCCTCGGCAAACTGGAACAGCGCCTTGCTGTACTGCTCGTTTGTGTCTGCTGTGATGTTGTCCAAGCTCACCTAGTACAGAGGCGCGCGCATTGCACATGCGATCAGCGCATCGCACGGATCGGAGAGCACTTGGCGGTACGCACGATGGTCAGGAGGAAGCACGGGTCGAACGTCCCGTTCCACGCCATGTACTCATTGTGCGTAAAGCTCACGGCGATGTACTTCAGCGGCTTACTCAGGAGCTCCGCCGCGAACTGTGTCCCAAATCGCTGTGATCAGTCTTCCGTATCATCCGCACCCATTCGCGAAGACGCACGGTGGAGAACTCCTCGACGAATTTCTTCGGATCGTCGAGCTTAACGTTCGTCTTAATCTCGAGAGACGGCATGTTGTGTGATGGAGCGAAAGGAGGCGGTTCGGAAAGGAGAAACCAAGGGCGAGGTCGCCGAGCGTACCGTATATATTATGTTCCACGAATACTCCTTTGGGCCTTCCACGACTCGTCATGCATCATACACATCGGCTAATCAGAGCATCCCCTTCTCAACGCGGCCAGACGTGTCCAAGAGCTGACGCTACTTAAACGCGAACGCCTGTGTTCTCTCATGGGTCGTGCTCGAGGTGCGTAATAGAGGTTCGTGATCCCAGGCCTTTCGATATTGCTACGAGTACATACGTATAAAGGCCCCTGTCCATAAATAAATCTACACTGAATCAGGGGTCCGCCTGGACAGTCAATCGTGCGAGTTCACTGGGAGTTGATGCAAACCTTTGTGTTGGT